GAAATGTCAAACTTTCTAGCTAATGTGGGAGACTATAACCTGTGTTTGACTTGATGATAGACATCAATATAATGGTCAATTTATAGCTGTCAGAACAGGCCAGGGTATCTGCTGACCAGATTCACATGGCCATATCCTAGGCTCAGATACCAACTCATCAAGGCCAGGTGTTTTTTTTAGTGTTCCACTGACCAGTTATTAGCTTCTAATTCATCAAAGGCTCAAGTTTATGTTTTTCAGTCATATGGTTCTCTCCTAAAGTTAAGCACATGTATAGATTTGTGGATTTCTTTCCGATGGTTTAAAGTTCATCATTTGAAGTAAATTTAAAATGCATACACTGGAGCTTTGGCTAAATCCACACATTGCGGTTCGGGGGCGAATGGGTTGAAGAATTTTCAATAAAATCTGTCACCTAGAGCCTAACATTTTGGACAGAGATGCTCTCAAAGTTCTTTAGCCAATAAACAAATACAGCAAAACCTCCATTAAGTGGCCACCCTTGGGGTATTAGCAAGTGGCAGCTTAATGGAGGTTGGCCCCTCAATAGAGGTTCATCGTAAATCAGCATCAACAGAAACAGAAACATCACTTTATTTTGAAACAAAGGCGCAACGGAAGAGGCATTAAAGGCCACAGTCAGTTGTCACCTTTTAACTTGGACTGTATTTTCCTTCACCATATTCTTAAAATGAAGCTAAACTAATAATTGTATTAAGCACTTGATCCCACTTAATAGAGGTGACAACAATGGGAGAACTCTTGTTGGGATGGCTGCAGCCACTTAATAGATAGAGGTGGATGCTTCATGGTGCTTCATGGTGGTTCAACTGGCTCTGCGGTTAGTTGTTGTTGTCCTAAATGCTCAAACGAGTTTTCGTGATAACTTGCTCAAATTCACCCTCCATACAATATAATACACAAGGTAGGAGGCACGAGATGGCATCTCGGTCGCCATGCTCCGTTTCTAACACAACTTTTCCACGAAATTCGAACTCCAACGGTAAATAAACATGCTAGGATCGTAGAAATAGGACAGCATCAGATATAGAACCCAATGAAGCTTTCCCAGCTAGAGAAACGAATCCAGCAGAGGCCGAAATCAACGCGCGGCCAAGCAAATGAGGACTGGGCACTGTACAAATCAAATCCATCCGGGGTGTCCTGGGGTGACCTTTCTTGCCTCCCCTGCTGGGATGGGAATACATTTGCTCGAGGGCTATTGTTCACTTGAGCCACTCGCGAGTCGCCCAAGCAAAACCAGTTCACGCGCCAAAATGAGAAAAAAAAAAAAACAAACAAACAAAAACAAAGTAAAAAGAAACATGTAAAAGTTAATGGCTGCAGTTTGTATTTTTTTTTTAATTAACTGACCACGACAGCAGCGACAACAAACAATATAGACTATGAGCAGTCTCTCTTTTTTCTTGGTCCGTCGAGCAAAACGCCCGAGACACGCAAATGACCACGCGCGTGACTGAGAGCGCGGGACGAGACGCCCTCGTTTCTCGTGTCGAGACTACCTCCTGAAGGTAGTCTCGGCACCCCTAAAATTTTGAGCACTTTTGCGAGATCAAGCAAAATTAACTACGACAGAGCGACTAGAGAACTGACAGTTTGACTAACAATAGACGACTGTTTAACTGTGACAATAGAAAGATCGAAACGCACCAATTACTGATTACGAGTCTTCATAACCAATAACATCACGGCTTAACTGACAGACGACCAATAACATCGCGACGTAACTGACCAATCAGATCAATAACCAGAGTATAATACCATCCACTGACATGATACAACTCACTTTAACTCAGAAGATGACTACCGCACAGGTTGTCGAAGCGTCAGTCACTGTCAACAACAACAGTCCTATTCAGGACTACGTTCACCCGGACGATCAAACTCAACCTACTTTTGAAATCACTCCTGAGTTCAAACTTTTCACGGTTTTAACAATTTGTTTATTAACAAAAAGATAAAGCTTTACAAGTTTGGATGCCCGCAAATATAAAGCTAATCGAGGCGAGACTAGACAAGGCAAAAGCGATATTAAACATTTATTACAAAAAAAAAAAAAGAAATACAATTTATTACAAGCAGAAAGAAAAACTGGAAGTTTTTGCTACAGTCACAAGTAAATTTCAAGTACTGTTATTTGTTATTTGAGCTAGACTGAAATTACCACCAGAGGTATACACAACAAATTATCAACTTAACTTCATAAAATATCCTAACAAATGAGTAACATTCATACAACTATCTTCATGATGTAGCCAATAATAAGAAAAACCGATTTTATTATTATTATTATTATTATTATTATTATTATTATTATTATTATTATTATTATTTTACGAGAATTAGATTTATTTATTTAGCTTTATTAAGGTCGTGTTCTATTGGGATCAACCGTTTCCGTTGGCTGGGTTGGTCGAGTTTTTACGTGTTCTAGTGGGAAAAAAAACCTTTTTGGTTGGTTTGGTTGATCAAGTCTTTCAAGCAGCTCAGAACTTTGTAGAATCGTTTTTCTTGTTTGACCTTTGTCATAGCTTTTTTTGCGCGGCTTTGTCTTTTACCAGCGTCCGCTGTTCTTTTAACAGGCATCGATTTTTAGTAAGTGCCGTGCATCTAGCCTAGTCCCTAGGCGTTCTCTCTTTCCCCGTTGTCCGCGGGAAGTCTGGGAAAGAGCGGGCTTTCTCGGCATGTATCTCTCGGTGACGTCACAGCTCACGGTAGAGTCCAGGATTGACCGAGCCGAGAACGCCTAGGGATTAGGCTGCCGTGCATCATTTTTTTCGCGAATTTTGGGCATGAAAAGTTGAAGTGCTCACACGGGCTTCACGAAGAAATATTGTAAACAAACATTGATGGCGGTCTTTTCCCACCGTTTTTGTCTTCGTATTTACACAGACATTTTACACATTTTACAGTAGACAACAAAGAATGTCATAACTCGGTTGTGTATTAAGAGTGCACAAAATTGAATGAACAGCAATTCAAGTCATGCAAAGTTCACGAAAGTTGACATTGCTTTATTTTCTACCTGAAAGAAATCTGATTTTAAGAAAGCCGTAAAAATCATATTTCTTCTCATCTTAATTTTATTAAGCACGCCGTCTTCGATAAATGATATCAGATCATTTCATTCTCAAAAATAGTCTGATTCATCATCTGCCCTATTCAGCAAACTGAAACTATTTTGTACACTATTTTTTAACGACGAATCGCAGCAACTATTCGCCATGGTTGACTACCTTGGCAAAAGTAGTCGAAGAATTAAGTCTAGAAATGACCGCAGCCAATCACAGCCAATGTTACAACCGCGTTTCAACAAAAAACGGTTGGAGAAGGTTTGGAAAAGTCTTCTATTAGGAACTTCAACCAAACTCGGCCTTGTTTGGTAGCTCAGATAAAGATGATAGCTAGACTAATTCTCTTCTCCATATATGAAATCACTGAAAATTAACGAAGTCTTCAAGTAGTACTTTCCTTCTATATGTTCTTAATACATTGATACTCAAATAAAGCGCGTTTTTTTTCGTTGTTTGTTTTGTTTATGTTAAAGTGTTTTTATTACAGCACAGGGTTGGTATAGTAGTGTCCATATTAGTGAGGCTAACATTCTATGGTGCTGATCGGTCTCGGTTGTCCTTATTAGTTGTTAAAGGTAGAGACAATGTAAGGGCTTTACCCATAGAAGGAAAACTGTCCGTAATATCTAATTGTCCATAATATAAGCGGCCATCGTAAAGCGGAGTTCGAATGTACAGTTATATAGATATTGACCTCTCTTACCCTTTATGCTATATTCAATAACCACACGAAAACTAGGCATCATCCAGTGAAAAAGAGTAATTTGTTTGCGGTTAAAAATCTCTAAAGAATGAGAATGATACATAACTAACAGAAATAAAAGTCTTACACTTGACAAAGATAAGTCACCATATGAAAAAAAGAATTTATCACTCACGAAAAAAATTGATGAGGTTGAAGTGTGAATTGATATCCCACATGATATAATCCCACATTTTACTCAATGTTCATATTTTTCACAATTTTTAACAATTTAAGTTCCCTCAGGCTATGCTGCTCTCTTTTCTTTGGTAGAATTCATTGACTAGAAAGTAATGGTCGTTTTGGTAGTAACCCAGCCTTTCAAGAGGAGTTTTGTAGAGCTGAGAACACAACACTTTTTAAAATCACTACGAGACACGACTAATCTATTCTGGTACAGAAGCAACGCATGCGCTGTCATTCCCCGGAGCGGTTCAGACCGGTTTTTAGCATTGTCTTGTTCATATATGACACCATAAACTGTCCCACTACATGGGGGGAGGGGAGAAAGGGTCCAAAGTGTCTGAAATTAGACACACAAGAAAGTTCAGAATGCATATCCACGTCTCGAGTACACAAGAATTTCTTGACAACATGACGAACTCGCTAAGACACAAAGCCGAGGTTCAGAACGTAGAGCGGTAGTATGCTGACATGCCGCTGCAGGCGTCTTGCAGGCACACCGTAGACTCTTGGTGGGCAAGGGGAACCTTGTTTGACATGTTTTGTCTCAACAGTGCTATTCATACAAAGAGAAAAGATTGGTTCCGGAACTCTTTGAAATCTCCCCTTGTTACGCTCCTGTAATTCCTGCTGTAATTGCTTGTTCTGTTAGTTTTTTTAGGCCTAAGCTCAATAAAACAGCAATGTCTTTCACGAGCCGTTGAGCCGTTTGTTCCTTAAAATCGCAAAAGGTATAAACGACCAATAAACACACAAACGATTATTACTTCGGTCAGCGGCGGATCCAGACCTTCAGATAGGGGGGGGCCCGGTAATCCAGATCCTGAGAAAAGAAGGGGGGTCCAGTCTCCAAAAAATCTTTTTTCGGCCCTTTGGGCCTCAGTTTGGTCTAAAAATAACGGGAGGGCCGGGCCCCCCGGGTCCCTTC